CACTTTGTGGAAAAAGTCTGGGTGGGCCATGTTTTTTTTCCCCGGGCCCCTTGACGGGGGTGGTGGTGGTGGGGGGGGGGGCTTTTTCCCTTTTTTTTTTTGGGCTGTTTGGGGAACGTTATTTTTTTTTTTAGGAACCCCCCAGGTTTTTCCCCACACGAAACGCCCCCCCCCCCCCTCCCCCCCCCAACCCAAAGAAACACGCACACACCAATGGCTAGAGAACGTGATGGAAGTTTTTTTTTATCCTGCACATAACCGCCACGTATATTCATTGGTCAGCCGGAAACCACGGTCGGTATGCTAAATTGAGAAACACACCACCACAACGCGAGCGAGAGAGAGAGAGAGCGAGGGAGAGGGAGAGAGACGGACTACAAAGAACAACAAAGGAAGCGGGCAAGCAAGCACCGGCAGGTGCACGCTGGAATATTGTCAAGCCTCTTGTTCCCCTCTCGATTCCGCGCTAAACGGCCGGCCGTCGCTTGTGTCCGGCTTCTTTCTTGGCGCTATCTTTGTGTTTTATACCTTGGACCCCTGCTTGCCTGCCTGCTCAGCGAGTGATTCGGGCGGGGTAACGACGGAGTCAGATAGAGCGGTGGTGAGCAGATGAGCATTCGCCCGGAGATAGGTTAAAGATGCTGCAAAACTCGCGAGCTGAGGGAGGGGGGGTGACGCAAACAACATCAACACGGACAGTACCTCGAAAAAGCGAGCCCTGCACCAGCACGACATGCATGCACAAAATGCATCCCGCGGGCGGGATGCACAGCGGTAACATCCTGTTCGCGTGTGCTGTATACAGGGTGGGGACCATGTCACACTCATGGTGCACGTGAGGTGAGAATTTGCTGTTGCGACATACGGGAAGGTCCGACGTGGGACTGCAAGAGGCATCGCACCGGGAAGAGGCCCGTATCCTTCGGGCGGACACCCATTGTTTCGTTCTTTTCTACACACAACGAGCAACGATTTCATATCCTTAAGCGTTCTGGGAATGTTGGGCGACGCAAACCGTGTAAGTCTAAAGCGTAGCTAGCCTTGCACCGCGTCATAGACCGCGTGCTGCAAGTGGATCTGTTCCTCGTACATTTGCTAGCACGCAGGCGCCGCTTCTCTTACGCTTTGCCGTTTTCATGGAGGAGATGCAACAAACACACGTCAAGCCCCCCATGACCTCAACACAACCTTAAGATCTTCCCGTTTCACAAGCCGCGTCAACTCAGGCGAATAGACCTTTCCGCCGATTATCCTCCGCGGCTCCAGAGGCGAGGGAGGGCCGCGGCCTATAATAGAACACTGATGTAAAATTGCAAGGTGGTGGGCACGTGGTGCGATTGATGCCGTGTTCTCCACGAAGACAACACGCCACGCCCCGCGGCGCACGCCACACGCGTACCGCGCCCCTCCGCCGACAATTCCAAAACCGTGGCCCAAAACACAAGTAGCACCGTCCAACCATATATAGCATCAAACCCGCATGACACACCGCCTTCCAGCCAACGCCAATCATCAGTGCCGCATGAAAAAGACCAGCGGTCTTGAACGCAAGCCCCTTCACGCTCTCAACCACTATTATTTGCTCCAGGCGTTGTTGAACAGGAAGAAAAAAAAGAAGAAAAAGCGCCGTTCTTCAGTGCACGTCCCCCAACACCAAGAAATGCGATTACTTTCTTACGCGCTCACCGTCTTGGCCTTGCTAGCCTTCTTAGCAGCACCGGAAGCCTTGCCGGAGCGGTCTCCGTCTTTGGCCTTTCTGTGCTCCACCCCCCTCTTCTCCTTGTTGGCCTCGACGCTCGCGGCCTTGGCCGCCCTGGCAGCAATCCTCGCCTCCTTTGCGGCGATGAAGTCTTGGGTGCAGAACGGCACCGAACTTCGCGTCAACGACCGCGTACACTGCGAGGGGCAACAAGACAAAACGAACGCACACGCGTAAAAAAAAAACGGCGACCGGAAAAAGTGGTAGTGTCATAAAAAAAGGGCGAAAGAGAAAAATTGCGGCCAAGAAGTTGTGGGCGCAGAACGGCACCGAACTTCGCGTCAACGACCTCTGCGATATCGAGTGGGGCCTAGCAAGGCCGGGTGTTGGTTCAGCGATGACGGAAAGAGAGGAGAGTTGGAAGAAGAAGTGAAGAAAGCGGCAGACGAGAACGCGGAGTTACGGAGGAGAGTGGGTGAAGTAGAGGAGAGGATTTCAGCGGAGGAAGCCGCGAGAGGGAGAGTGGGCGATGCCGGGTATGCGGCTGGTTTTTATGGGGGTGGCGAGAGTAGCCCGCCCCAACGACTTTTTTTTTCGGAGAGAGAGGGGAAGACACCCCGCGTGTACGGCGGATACCAGCAACATGTGACGAGCGGTGTGCAGCAGAGCAGCTGCCACGACCACGTCCTCAGAGGGCATTGCCAGTACCAGCATCAGCAGCAGCTGGTGACCAACGCACGCCCTCCCGCTGCTCCTCCTCCGGCTGCACAGCCGCAGCAGCAGCGTTTTACTATTGCTGCAGCACGTTGCCAGTACACCCCCCATTGGCAGCAGGAGCAGTGCGTGCAGCAGAGGTACATGCCACCGCAACCGGTCCAGCAGCAACCCGTGCCCCAGCAGCGTCGCCAACCGCCTCTACCGCAGCAACCTCGTCAACAACAGCAACCTATACAGTCCTGCAATGGCGCTCCGGGTACTACAGCTCCAGCTTTCGCCCGAGGACCGCTTCAGCAGCAGCGGAGGACCGACGGGGACAACGGTGGTGGCGGTGGTGACAGCAGCGGTGGCGGTATCGGAGGCAGCAGCACCGGCATCCGCAAGGCGATCTCCACGACGACGCCCTCCACGGCCTCGCGACCGGCCTGCGACTACAACCGCATATGGCCGGAGGCATGGAGCTGGATGTCGGCCTGCATAAACACACAGCCGCGACTCGACAAGAAGGCCGACATGCTATGCCCGTACGAGATGCTCCACGGGAAGCGCCTTCTATGTCATCCTCTGCCCTTCCTCATGCCGGGTATCGACTACGCGCGTGTCTCCGCCAAGATCGCGCCGAAGGGCGCTCGGTGTTTTTACCTCAACTCTGGCGACTTCCTCTCCCACGACTGCTACAAGGTCGTTTTCCCCTCCGGCGCCGCGGGGTACACCACGGACGTTGTTTGGGGTTACCGCCGCCAGCCGTTCGTCGGCCTCGTGCCCACGTACAACAGGGGCGCCGTTTCTGCACCGGCAGCGGCACCGGCGGCGGCGGCGGCGGCGACAGCGGCACCGGCGCCTTCGACCCTCGCGGCAGCGGCAGAAGTCAGAGCACTGGCGGATGCGACGACGACAGCTGCAGGAGCGCCGGCGGAAGTGCGGACGGCTTCGGCCAGAACCCCGTCGACGGCAGCAACGCCACCGGAAGCAGTGGCGGCGGCGGCGGCGGTATCGATGACGGGGGGAACGGCAGGGGCGGCAGCAGCAGCGTCGTCCCCGGTCGCCGCGTTGGCGCTGGGCACTCAGACGGACGCAGCGGCGATGGCGGCGGTGCCGGCGGCGGCGGGGGGAACGGCAGCAGCGGGAGCAGCAGCGTCGTCCCCGGTCGCCGCGCTGGCATCGGAAGGAGCGGCGGCGGCGCGGACGGTTTCGGCCAGAGCGCCGTCCCCGACAGCAGCACCGGCGGTGGCGGCATCGGTGACGGGGGGAATGGCAGCGGCAGCAGCAGCTGCGGCGTCCCCGGTCGCCGCGTTGGCGTCGGGTATCCAGACGACCGCAGCGGCGGCGGTAGCGACATCGGTGACGGGGGTAACGGCAGCGGCAGAAGCAGCAGCGGCGTCCCCGGTCGCCGCGTTGGCGTCGGGTGTCAAGACGGCCGCACGGGCGGCGGCGGCGGCGGCACCGGTGACGGAGGTATGTGACGAAGAGTTGGAGGAAGCGGTTGGTGCGACAACCATGCCATTGCCAGTCCTAGAGGAGCTTGATAGCCAATGTGCTGGGGGGGACGTGAGCGGCGATGGGGGCGGGGACGAGGGGTTGGATGAAATCTGGAGTGGAGCCCCGACGCACCCTTTCGACCCCGGGAAGGTTGAGGGGGACGTGAGCAGCAGCGGCCGCAGCGGCGGTGGTAGCGACATCGGTGACGGGGGGAACGGCAGCGGCAGAAGCAGCAGCGGCATCCCCGGTCGCCGCGTTGGCGTTGGGCGTCCAGACGGCCGCAGCGGCGGCGGCGTCGACATCGGTGACGGGGGTAACGGCAGCGGCGACAGCAGCAGCGGCGTCCCCGGTCGCCGCGTTGGCGTCGGGTGTCCAGACGGCCGCAAGGGCGGCGACGAGGGGTTAGATGAAATCTGGAGTGGAGCCCCGACGCACCCTTTCGACCCCGGGAAGGCTGAGGGGGACGTGAGCAGCAGCAGCAGCAGCGGCAGCTGTAGCAACGGCGGCGAGGACAGTGGCGGCGATGGGGGCGGGGACGAGGGGTTGCATGAAACCTGGTGTGGAGCCCCGACGCACGCTGTTGATCCCGGGAAGACTGAGGAGGAAATGAGCTGCAGCAGCAGCAGCAGCAGCAGCAGCAGCAGCAGCAGCAGCAGCAGCAGCAGCAGCAGCAGCAGCGAGAAAAGCGGCGGTGACGGGAACGGGGGTGAGGGGTTAGATGAAACCTGGAGTGGAGCCCCGACGCACCCCTTCGACCCCGGTAAGACATCTTCGCGTGGCGCGAGGAGACGGGGGGCGGTCCCAGGGGTGGCGTACCCCTTCGATAGGGGCAGGAACGGGAGTGGCAGCTCCGGCGGCGGCAACGGCGGCAACGGCGGTAGCCGCAGCCGCAACGGGAGTGGCGGCTTCGGTCAGAGCTCCGGCGGCGACACCGGCGGCAGCAGGAGCAGCGACGGGAGTGGTGGCTTCGGCCAGAGCTCCGACGGCAGCAGAAGACGGCAGCGGCGGCTTTGGCCAGAGCTCCGTCGGCGGCAGCGGCGACAACGGCGGCGGTGGTAGAGGCGGCAGCAGCGACGTTACCGGCAGCTGTGTTGGCGCTGGAACTCATGACGGTCGTGGCGGCGGGGGAACGGCAACGGCGGCGATGGCAGCGGCGGCAGCAGCGGTGGCGCCCTCGAGTCGACCGGGAACGGGGAGGACACGGTGACAGCGACGACCTCACCTTGTTACAGCCAAGTGGGAAATCATGTGAAACGTTTACGACTTTGTTCGGTTTTGTGAGCAGGCATGGACGTTTTAGCTTCGCCATTTGGCTTCGTATTATTTTTTTTCTGTTCTGTTTTTCCCTTGCAAGCGCATCGTGCACTTTGATGCAGAAAACACGCGTGCCACGGCGTGTGCATGATTTTTTTTCTGTACTTGGTTCCATGGATAATAAATATACGCTGCGACAAGATAAGCTGCCACAACCTTTGGAATAGGAAGCAGCACGTGGGTATTTTTTTTTTTCATTGGTTCTTCGTATGTTTCCAGTCGCGTTTTACCTTGTAGCTGAATGCTTCATAGCATTTCCGTATTCTTTGGAGGGAGTACGCTCAGTCGCGTTTTGCGCTTAGGGTGTTTCGATACCTTTTTTTTTATATATGTTAGGTCCTGAGTTAATTGGTCGCTCTCTGCGGTGTGTTTTTGGTCGCGCCCAAGAAATGGGATGATAGCGCGTTGTTTGACGTGCGTGGAGGCATGCCGCTCAGGGAGCAGGGTGGCTTTTGGAGTTCCAGTTGCAAAGACAGTTTTCATACGGTACGAACTTTTTCCGGAGTTTGATGCCATGTGTGTTACGTGTTTTCATGTTTTTGGCTTGTATCGCATGTTTTGCTGCTCTTGCATCGAAAATCATGGGGGGGGATGTCATGTACGACCACGATTCTAGAGGGCATGATCAGCAATCGAATTGGTTCGTTTTCTGGTCTTGTCTATTAGGTGAACGGCAAAGCAGGGGGGACTGTTGACATCGAGATATTAGCTCGGGGTGAATTTTGGGAGCTGACAGCAGGGGGCCTGTTTACGTGGATGCTTGCTTATATTTCTATCGTTTCTTGGACAACAGCGACGGTACCGATTAGCGGGTGCGCGCTGTTTAGGATTTGGTCCTCGGACACTACAGTACTTTTGCATGCAGGACACTTGCTGTGCTCTAATGAGCCTTCCGCGAGGAATCCAACGAAATGCGCACTATACATGCATAGACGAAGGTACTTGCCTGCCTAGCGAACGTCTCGTCTACGCCGGCGTGCTTCAAGAAGCGTTCCTCGGGCCTCCCGGTGCCTGCTCGGGATAGGCGGGAAAAAAAAAAAAAAGAGTGTGGAAAAAAAAAAACAGTAATCACGAAACGACGTTTGGCCAACCACACGCCGGGACACGCATTTAATAAGCGTTCGGCTGAGCATCATGCGTTCAACAAGTTGCGAACAGGGGTTATTCTCGGCCTGTTCCGTGAGTAACAAGAGTTCGCTTACGCAGGGCCTTGGTGCTTCATGCAGCACAGCACTTGTACAGTACAGTATTGTCGATAGACAAAACACCGAGACGACATGCACGAGAGGTAGCGTGGGGGGCACAAGAAAGGCGTGGGGAAACATCAATCACTGAGCTTTTCGTTGCGTGGGCGGTATACTATTGCCAACAGATAATCAGCGTGCGCGGGTGGTACCAAAGATACAACGAGTGCCTGATTCAAACTTTGAAGTACCTAGGGCCTGTGTTGCCCGTCAGATGCACCTGGAGACGTGTCGAATGCGTACTTGAACAAGTTTTTTCAGTATCTATAAAAACCACCAACAACCCGGTGGCTGCACACATGTCCAGCGTGTGCTTGGAAACAAGCGCTATCGAAAAAACGTCAACCTTGAGCACCCCTTTGATGATTGCGCCGCGTCCCTCACTCACCGGCAAACTTGTTGTTGCCCATGAAGATGGCCATCGGTTGGAGCCGAGTCACCAAACGGTTTCCAAGCCCCCCGCCCAACACTCTGTCGCAAAACAGCAGCAAATGGACGAGCGTTTTCACAATATATGTCACGGCGTTTGAAACCGTACAAATTGAAAGAACCACATGCGCGTGCGCTGCATAGGACGCGTGCCTTCTATGGCAATGGGGGGTAGAGCCAACACAGCGGACCAACAACACCACGTGACGCGAAGTTGCCCAGCAGGTCACCGCTAAACCCCCCACAACGATTCCTTCTCAAGGCACGGAACGATCGTCGTGCAGAGAAACAAGAGCACATGAGCGAATAGCCCCCCTTTTCCCCCCTTCTGTTTGGCGGAGCCCCCCGCACCTGCTGGTGGAGTCGACGACGCTCGAGAACCGGTCGAGAGTTTGTCGGCCGTAGTCAAGAAGCACCTCGAACACCTCTTCCTCCGTCTCGACACTGTGCGCATTCTGCCCACCCCCAAAGTTGAAATAACCGCGACGCAGCGATTATTATCCAGCCGATCGCAGCAGCAGCGCAAACAAAAAAGAAAAACACCAACGCGTGGTGCGGAAGGGCGGCGCATCGCACGGAAGGGACGGGCAATGTGGGACAATATGGGACGGGACGGGACGGGACGGGACGGGCGGAGCGAGGACACGACCAAACGTCAGTGCCTGGTTAGGGATGAAAGGCTACAAGCTATGTCTCAGCACCCTTTCCGTCTCATGATCCCAAGCCGGCTGGCGCAGCCAACGTGTGGTGACCATGTCACCTGTTCTCTGTAGCTATGTTGAGAATCGATTGATTGTCTCGGTCGGGGGCAGAGGGCATAATAAATAAATAAAAGAATACAGCCTAAGCATACCGTCTCTACGTTGCCCCGCTTCAGCTGATGAAAGAGGTACAGCGCTACCTGTGCGTGACAAGGCTCAACAAAATGCAACACATCCATGGGCCGAAAAGGCGGGTACTGGTATCGATAAGTCAGGTGAGAGACAACATGCTTTGGCCACATTTGGCAAAAGTAGGGAGGAACGATTGGCCGTCGGTGGTCGGTCCCGCAAGAACAACGCCCCGTCCTCTCGAGGACGCATGGTCAATGGTCTGGCAACCAAGGCACGCCAAACATGCGTCCGTCCGCCCCCCCACGCCGCAGCAACACCGTCAGCGAAAGCAACAACAACGGCCTACAGCGCGACAATCAGCACACGGGCACCTTGAGCATCTCTACCCCGAAGCGGTCGAGCAGGTCGAGGCACCGGACCACGATCCACGCCCACAGCTCCTCCTGGATCTCCGGCGATGCCGTGTGGTAGGCCAGCAGGTCGTGCTCCCTCAGCTCCTTCGCCTGGATGTATGTATTCGCATGGCACATGTTCAGATGTGTCCCCCTTGTCAGGTTCGTTTTTCTCGAAGTGAAAAAGGCGATTGCGTGTGAGTGAGCTAAGAGGGAGCGAGAGGGAGACTGATCGAAAGAAAGGCTTGTCGTATTGGGGGGAATTGGGCGCAGGTTTTCCGGGGTGCTGTCAAGCTCCCTCGGAAGCAGATCTGGCCCGCACGTACCAAAACCACACCCCAACGACAAACAGAAAATCGTAACACATGTCACACACGCGGCGCGCTCAACGGACGCACGCAAGACGACCATACCCACACAATGCACACAGGTTTGTTCAATGCTGACCACCAAGTGCGGGTCGCGAACAGCATCAAGCGGTGGTGGCAACCGGCTAAGTATTTCCGAAGGTTTATCGGCGACGAATCTAATCGCACTTCGGCAGGGCCGATCGGTTCACATGTTTTGCTGACTCGCGCAAAATGGCAGCCGATGACAGGTTCACATCTTTTAGTTGACTCGGCGCGTAACATGTCAGCCGATGACACTACAAGGATTGATGGACGGGGGAGACATTGGGCCTTCTTGCTGTTGACGTCCCCGTGTGCGCGATAGGGAGGTGGTACTAACGCAGGCAGGGAGGATCCCATCAAGTTGTTCCGGGAAAAGGGGGGACGACGCTCAACGAGCGCTCAAGCCAAAAAAACAAGCAAGCTAGTGGGCCATCCTCGGCGGCAATTGAGGCATTGCGAAAACATGAACACGCCCGCTTGTCGGCGACAACGCCAAACGCAGCAACTAACAGCGACGAATCTACGGAGATTCACCAACAACACGTCCACACATCATCATCAGCACCAAAGCGGAGAAAAAAAATACTCCTCGTGTTTGTTCTCTCTCGCTCTCACCCCGGGGGCCTTCTCGCGGAGAGTCATGAAGCCCAGAACGGTGTGCATGCCGTTCACAATGCTAAACTTCCGCTTGTAGAAGTAGCTCGCCTCCTCTTCCGTCGAAGGGATCAGCTGGAAATGAAAACAGAACGTACCGAAAAAAAAACACACACACACAAACGTAAGAGAGCCACGGTTATTAAGACAGCAACCGGTAAATACCATCCGCAGCCTGGTGGGTCCACTGAAGCCGCATCAAACAAAATCAAAGAGTTCAACACACTCCCTTTGAGTGTGAACAAATCTCGAACGGGTACACCATCTTTGATTGTGTGCATATTCTCTTAATAAGTCAAAGAAGTGCTCTGAGCCGCGTGCGCGCGAACCTCGAATCTCAGGGGGTACTCCTTACCTACCCGCCACCCCACACCCTTTGACTCTCTTTGTACACGCGCGCCAGCTAGTCTCCCAAAACACACGATCGTTCACGTCGGTTGCCTCATGGACCTGCGTTGACTCGCAAAACACGTTTTGAATGTTCGTCGAAGTAAGAACTTGGAGGAGGGAGTTAATCGCGGCTAGCTAGCTTACCACGCGGTCCCCGGCGAAGGGTACGAGAGACTTGTCCGCGGGAGGCTGGAGGAGGACGAGGGCACCTTCGAAGTTGGGCTCGGCCTCGACGTTAACGTCGTACTCGCCTGGAGGACAAGAAAAAAAGCAAAGCAGAGCGTGCGTGTGAGAGAGAGGACGAGAGAAACAGAGAGAGAGGGACGGAGAGAGAGAGCAAGAGAGAGACAGACAAACAGAGAGACAGACAGACAGACAGACAGAGAAAGAGAGACAGACAGACAGACCGAGAGAGAGAGACAGAGAGAGAGAGAGAGACAGACAGACAGACAGACAGAGAAAGAGAGAGAGAGGGACGGAGAGAGAGAGAAAGAGGGAGAGAGGGACGGAGAGAGAGAGAGAAAGAGACAGACAGAGAGACAGACAGACAGACAGACAGACAGACAGACAGACAGACAAAGAGACAGACAGACAGACAACAAAGGGGAAAGGAACATACAGGAGAGCGACAGACGGATAACGACGATAGCATCAACATCTCGGCACTTGAGGCATTCAGAAAGCAGGTCGCTGTGTTCCCCGAGAGTCGTGGGAACAACCATCCAGTGCTCGAAAGCATTAGAAAAATTCACTCTGAGGGAGACCACTACCCTGTCAACCTCAACCCCCCCCACCCCTTCCATCTATCTACTGCGCCATCTCTATCTCCGTCTCCTGCTCTTGTGTCTCGCTCTGCCTACCTACCCTGCCCCTTCCTCATTCCTTGTGCGCACCCTCACCACCCCCTCCTTCTGTCTACAGCCCCCCGGTGCCGCCCTCCTGCTGTAAAAAAATGATGAGTGCGCGGTCTTGCAAATTCTCGAGTGCCCCCCCCCCCCCCCA